GCGCGCGTAGTTCCGTAAGTGAAACAAAGGAGCGAGGACACCGTCGGAAGTAAAGAAAGTCTGGGTCGTTTTCAAATCCGGTTAGGAGGAAAGCGGGCGGAAAAAAACGATGTGGTGCTTGGGTCCGTGCAGTATTCATCCAAGCTGTCGCGCCGCGCACGGCCGAGCCATGGGGCCGAGCCATGGGGCCACGGAGCCGTGGGGCACACCGTCGGGCCGCTCTGCCGTTCGGCTCCTTACTTCCCTCCAGGGGGCCGTCAGGGACTCTTCTCAAAGACCTCCCGCAGGCCGCACCCCACACGGTCCAGCACTTCTATGGACCACCAGTCAAGTAGTAGCAGTGCGGACGGGGCGAAGGCGAAACCGTTCAGGATAGACTTGCGTGCAGCGTAACAGGTTCCTCATAATTCAATCTTTCCTATATTTTTTTTGCGACCGTGCCCACGGCCGAGTCCCCCCTCTTCTTGCTCTTGCGCGGAAGTGGAAGTGGACTGCGAACGTGAATTTTCGTTCTGCGCCACGCAATTTCGGCCGCGCGTTCAACGACCGGCAGTAACGCTTCCTCGCTGAGCTCAGCAGCTCCGGACTTAGAGGTCCACGCCGCTTCGGCTTCGGCCGCTTCCCGCTCGAAGCTCGAATCCCTCTCTTCTGGCCGGATCAGCGGCCGCAGGGCGTCCCGCAGTGGGCCAGAAGACCGGTGGAGGCGGCCAAAACTCTAGACGCGTTTTGAGCTCCAGAGTCCCTTCACGGGACTCGAACTGAACGTATGGCCCTACCAATGGATTCCTCTCGAAACGAGGAACCCATTGGTGGGGTCACACGTTCGGTTCGAGTCCCATTTAGCGACTCTGGAGCTCAAAACGCGTCTCGAGTTTTGGCCGCCTCCACCGGTCTTCTGGCCCACTGTGGGCCGCCAGGCCCCGCGGGGCACCCCCGAGGCCTCACGACGACGGCACGGCCGGCACCGCTGGAACCCTTCACATTCCTACCCCCAAAATAGCTTACCCATACTGCCAAAATGTGACCCATAAAAGAGAACGGAAAAAAAATGTGCATGTGTGTGTGAGCGGTGCCATTCCACGTTGAAGAGCGTCAATAAACTGCTTATCCGAGGTTAGCGTGGATGAGGGTTATGACCCTGATGGATACGCGCGCAGCAAAATTGAATCGATACTGTATTAAAATGGAGTCCGGAACGAGGCTGTGGAATCAGCGGGATGGCCGGAGGATCAGGCTGTCAACGATAGCAGTGCATCAGATCACTTCATCTCCCCGGACGGCCGACGCGGCGGACGCCGATTGCCCACAAATCGTCCTCCATCTTGGCGAATACCTCCCTTTCCCCGGCCTGCCTTCGACCTCCGGGCCCCTTCCGCCTCCCCTCGCCAGAGATGCCGAGAAGCTGCAGGGCGCGCTGTTACCGACCTCCCTGGCTGCGGGCGCTTTGACACTGGGACTGGATTCCCCGCGCCCCCTTTTATCGCTACACCGAAAACACCAGAATCGACGCTCCCTTTTCACTCGGAACTTTCGCTTCTTTTTGCACGTGTCGATTGACAGGCGGCGCGTGCTTTGCGGGAGGGGCCCCTGGGGGCGCCGTGGCCGAGGCCAAACAGGTTCATTATGTAGCGGTGGGGCCCAGGCAGCCCGGCCAGCCAATCAGAAGGGCAGTCCGTCTCCGTCGCCCACCCCTCAATAAGGGAGGGCTCGGACACCGGCCGCTCCGCCCGCGCCGCCCCGACAGCTTGCCGATGACGAGGTGTACACAGGACGCGGCGCAAAGTGACGCGGCCCGGCGATCCCATGTCGAACCGCCGGGCCGAGGCCGTGGCCGTGGCAGGGCCGAGGCAAGGGCCGAGGCAGGGCCGAGGCAAGGGCCGAGGCAGGGGCGAGGCCCGCCGGCAGAGAGATCGAATATCTGAAGAGACTGGCCATCCGTCCGCGCCCTCCCCCTCTCCCTCATGCACGGCCCAAGGGGCCTGGGGGAGGCGGCTGCTGCTGTGCTGCTGGGCTTTGGCTGGGATTTCTCCCCTCCGGCCCGGATTATATCAGCGGCTGCGAACTCGGCCGGAAACGAACCGGGCGAGTCGGCGCGCCGCGCACTTACGCCGACCCCCCCGAACGCGTTCGGCGCTGGTAACGTCCAGCACACCGTTCACTGGTGAAACTAAAGCGTAACTCTATATGCTTGAGACAAGCATACGCTTGAAATGAAGCCAAGAACTTGCCCCATGCATTTAGATGGGGGGATCTCGGCAGATGAGCATGATAAGCATGATTTCAAGCGTAAATCGATTGCAGTTTAAAATAGAGCACGGTAGTCACGGTACCTGGTTTCCCCAGGAAGCCTACGGTAAAGACATAGGCGATTTTTTCCAGGGGGTTCCTGGGAAAACCAGGTATGTAGTTTCACCACTGTTGCGGGCAAAAGCACGCACAATTTTATTTTCGCGCGGTAAATCGGCACGAATGAACAGGTCCATCTTTTCTCGGCACGCCGCCCAACATAAGGACGGCCCGTGACGGCGCCGCCACCCCTGAGCACGCCCCTGGCCGCCGCCCCTGGTAACTTGGTTTACGGGCCGCCGAGAGGGCGCTGCGCTGCACGCAGGGGCCCCCCTGGGGGCAGTGGGCCTGGCGCGGGGCGGCGCGGGGCGTGGCGGGGCGGCGCGGGGTGGCGCGGGGCGTGGCCGGCCGACCGGGGGAAAGAGGAAACAATTGGAGGAGACTGATCGAACACAACCCTAACTCCGTTAAACAGCCAGTCTAGTTAGGTTTGATCCGATTCCGGCCTCCAGCTTGCTTCCAGCCACAACAGCGAGCGACCTCACCTCATTAGGAGCCAAAGTTTGAGGAAATTGCGTGTTCGGCGGACAGTGCGCGGGGCGGCGCAGTGGAGGGGCGAATCTGCGAGTCAAGTACTCCGCAAAAAAGTGGCGGCGGCTCGTGGAACGACGCGTTGGCATGCCAGCAGTGTGCCAGGGCGTAGCAGTGCGAACGCCCCGCCCCGGTGGGACGGCACAGCACCGTCGTGGGGAAATGGGGCTTCGGCGCCGCAATCCCGGTGCCGTGCGTCCAAGATTTATCTTGTCCACCGGAGTGATGGATTGTCGGCCGGAGAGAGTGAGAATGGTGAGGCCGATTGTGTCCCCGTTATTGCTCTACACCACTATGCCTGCGTGGCGCACTGTGGAGTAGGCGCACTGTGGAGCACTGTGGCGCCCCGCGAACACGGGGACGCGGCGTGGGAACGACAGCGCCGCCGCCCCGTCTCGCAGTGGCCCGGCGAAGGGCCGGCCCGGCCGCGCTGGAGTGCGTCCATATTGGCGGCTAATCTTATCGCCGAGGTGCTTTATGCCTGGCGCTATCGGGGTGCCGCAAACAGACGAACCAGCTGGCCGCGCCCCCACCCCCCGCCGGCAGTCCCCACCCCCTCCCCCGCCCCCGGACAACTTATTCCTTTGCACCTGGGCGGCCGGGCCGCGCCCCGACAGAGGGTACCCGCCACGCGAGCGAAACGCGCACCGCGCGCGCGCCTGGTGGAAAACTTAGTTATCTTATCTGTTCCCCCACTTGTTTAGTCACCAGCGGCGCGCGCGGGCGCCGGCATGTGTATGTGTGCGCGAGTGTTTGTGTGTGAGCCAGCTGGTTTGTTGACCCGCTCTAAGCCGTCGCGTTCAACTACAAAGCTACTGGAAACCCGGCAGGGCCACGCGCGTACGCAGCACAGTCGGCAAGAAGACCGGTGGAGGCGGTCACAATCCCAAAAGTGTTTTGATCTCCAGAGTCACTAAATGTGACTCTAACCGAACAAGTGACCACACCAATGGATTGCTCTCCGAACGAGCACAGGTGTAAATGGGATCAGGATTTTCTGATCACCTAGCGCTGATCACTTTCTGGATCAGAAAATAGAGGATCAGAAAAAAACCTGACGCTTTTTCGAACACCTTTTCTGATGTTTTTTATCCTGATTCCTGATCACGTTTCTGATCAGCGTGGCTCTGATCACCTCGGGTCTGATCACCACTGGAGTAGAATCAGAAATTGTATTATCAGAAATGTAACGATATCTGACTCAGGATATTTTCACGACCATGAAAGATACGGAGATGAGGCAAACGGCTCTAGGGGGTCGAAACTGAGTCCGATCCAATTCTGCAATCCGTTTCACGCTAGCTCGCCATCAGCTCTCAAAATGCCAGAAGATATGGTCTAAATTTCATGACCTTGAAAATGCCCTAGCCAAATGTCGCGAACATACCGCTCACCAAATTTGAAACCAAAATTCCGAAAACTTTCTGTTTTACAGGCATCTAGATTTTTGAGACATCACGATTTTCTGATAGTTTTGCATGTTATCAGAATGTCTATGTTTTCTGATGACTCTATTCTGATCACTGTCTGATCACTTTTCGGATCAGAAATTTTCCCTGATCACTTACTAGCGATCAGACTTTTTCTCTGATCATTTCACAGTTATCAGAAATTCTTGTAATTCTGATGCCAATTTTTCTGATAGTGCACCAATGATCAGAAAATCCCAAATTTTATCAGAAAAATGGGTAAATGATCAGAAGATCCTGATCCCATTTACACCTGTGAGGGGCCCGTTGGTGGGGTCATACGCTGGGTTCGAGCCCTGTTTAGCGACTCTGGAGCTCGAAACGCGTCGAAGGGGGTGCCGAGCTCCGCCGAGCACGGGTGTCGGGTGGGTTGCCTACGCCGCCGTCCGCAGGCGCGCTGCATCCCAAGCTGGCGCCACCTCAGCCCGGCCGGCCGGCCCAGCCCGCCCCGCCGAGGGGGAGGGGGAGAGGCAGGCAGGCGTTCATCATGCGAGACAGACAAGGACGATGATGCCAACCTGTGGAGCAGACAGTTTGCGCACCATCTGCCTGTGCAAACTTGATGTATTTCGGGGCGCAGTGGCGCGGCGGTGAGGGATGACCGGGATGAGTAGTTGCGCCGTGTGCTACAGCCGCGCTTCGTTCTGGTTGCAGGAATTGGATGCCGCGCCCCCGTCCCAGCATCGGGACAAAGTGGTGAGCCAAGCGTCCTCTTCGTTTCACGCCACAGTGGGAGTTTTGCGTCGCCGGCGTTAAAATATTTTAGTTTGCATGACTGTGCAAGTGTTGATGTAAATGCTTGTGTGTGTGAGCACGCGCACGTGGCACTGTGAGTCGATGTGAGTCGATGTGTGTGTGTGTGTGTGTGTGTGTGTGTGTGTGTGTGCGCGCGCGTGTGCGTGTCGTGATATCTGACCTCCGCCAGACAGGATATTATTCACCGCTGAAATTATGCGATTGTGCTCCTCTAGCGGTGCGAGGCGGGGGGGGGGGGGGAGGCGCGCGAGGGGGGCGGCGGGGGCCCCGCTGTGCGTTGAATCCCTTATCAACGTCCCTAGGAAGGCTTATTTCCCTCGGAGGAGGGGGGTGGGGGGGAGGATCCGTGGCTGGAGGACCTGGCGGCCGCCGCCGCGCCCCGCACCCCGCCCACACCGAGCGATGTTTTGAAGCACTCGACGGCCTGGCGGCGTCGCGAAGCTGCGGCGCTCCATTCCACCTCAACTCGATTCGAATAAATCAGAGGGAGACTCTTCCCATTACGGTGATCGCGCACCGAAGCGGGCCACGCCAAGGGCCACGCCGGCTTATCTTTTTAGTATGAAATATGCGGCAATATCGGATCCGGCGCAGCGCAGCAGCATAGCGCAGCTGCTTCAGAGTTGACTCACGCACTGCCAAAACTTTTGCTCCCACTCTCCTCTTCGGGCAGACCGGCGTCTGCGACGAGGTCTGCGACGAGGTCTGCGACGAGGTCTGCGACGAGGTCTGCGACGAGGTCTGCGACGAGGTCTGCGACGAGGTCTGCGACGAGGTCTGCGACGAGGTCTGCGACGAGGTCTGCGACGAGGTCTGCGACGAGGTCTGCGACGAGGTCTGCGACGAGGTCTGCGACGAGGTCTGCGACGAGGTCTGCGACGAGGTCTGCGACGAGGTCTGCGACGAGGTCTGCCCAGCTTAAAATTCCACCTGGAATTTCCTCTGGATTTCCTTGTTTCCATCTGGATTGCTCATATCCATATGGGATTTATATTTTCCAGCTGGAAAGGGTCATTTCCATACCAGGCTGCTGTCTGGAAATAAGGGTTCCAGATGGAAATTTTTTTTCCATAAGGGTTTGAGTAACCCAGAATGGAAATTGTATTCCACTGTGGAAAGTCTGATTTCCATTGCGAGATTTCCACAATGGATTTTCCTAGAAATCCAGGATGGATTTTTCATTTCCAGACTGGATTTTGTAAGCTTTGTCCGCTAGGTGGCGCTAGTGTCGCTATTTTGTCCTGAAGTAGATAAAAGGCTCTCCTAGCTCAAAGAAAGTGCCCTCATACTTCCGAATAGGTGAATTCTGAACGGTATCCATGAGAGTTATGAATCCTTATGTGAGTGATCTATGTATCAGTATTACAGGCTGAGATTTTTATAATCTAAGTTATCTCTCGCTTGTGACCAAGGCTCCCAATTTCCTTAGTCGAGGAAGTCTAGTTCCAGAGGACATGTGACAAATCCAGTACCATCTGGCACATCAATCAATTTTTGAGGCAGTGGCACCTGCACCTCCTTGGTGTCTGTACCATGCCGAGCTGGCTTTAGCTTATCTACTTGATAAGCTTGCTCTAAATACTCAACTAATTCCTGCTTGAATCAGTATGAATACGCGAAAAGAATCCATATATTGAGAAATTGGGGGACCACAGGGGGCACGCTCCATTCTAAAGTCACTGCGATTAGCAGTGTTAAAGTAAGCCTCTTTTTTACAAATAAACGAGTACAGTATTTTGGAGTGATTTCCATTTCCACAGATGTGTAAATCCATACTGGAAATCGGGAACCCACAATGGAATTCATAAAATTCCAGATGGGAAAACGTTCCAAATACCAGCTGGATTTCAGATCCCTCTGGATTCTACTTTCCACAATGGAAATAAATCCAGACCAATTTCCAGGTGGAATTTTAAGCTGGGTGCGACGAGGTCTGCGACGAGGTCTGCGACGAGGTCTGCGACGAGGTCTGCGACGAGGTCTGCGACGAGGTCTGCGACGAGGTCTGCGACGAGGTCTGCGACGAGGTCTGCGACGAGGTCTGCGACGAGGTCTGCGACGAGGTCTGCGACGAGGTCTGCGACGAGGTCTGCGACGAGGTCTGCGACGAGGTCTGCGACGAGGTCTGCGACGAGGTCTGCGACGAGGTCTGCGACGAGGTCTGCGACGAGGTCTGCGACGAGGTCTGCGACGAGGTCTGCGACGAGGTCTGCGACGAGGTCTGCGACGAGGTCTGCGACGAGGTCTGCGACGAGGTCTGCGACGAGGTCTGCGACGAGGTCTGCGACGAGGTCTGCGACGAGGTCTGCGACGAGGTCTGCGACGAGGTCTGCGACGAGGTCTGCGACCGTCTCGACGGCCGAGGCTGCTAACCTTTGCCGCGAGGTGTCGCGCTGGGCGTGGCGGGCCGCTCTCGCTGCACCGTGGAAACGGTTGCGTAAGTTTTTAAGCAAAAGGTTAGGCCGGCATCGACTTGCGCGGCCAAGCCGGCCAAGCCTGCAAGCGCGGTAGCAGACTCCCACTCGCACGCCGCGCCAAGCCAAGACAAGCCACGCCGGCAAGGCCGAGCAGCTAGGCGAGTCAGTCGCGCCGGATTCGATTCGATTCGATTCGATTCGATTCGATTCGATTCGAGAGCGACGCAACCGCGAGGGCCTGTAGCGATGGCTACCGCGCGAGCAACGCCGCCCCACATACGGGCGCCGAAATCCAAGGCCCGCCGGCGTGCCGCCTCTTTCGGTCTCCCGGACGCGCCAAGCGACGAGCTTTTCATTAAAAAACAAAATAAACTCTTTCAGGACCGAAAAGAGAGGTAAAGTGCGTTCGTTTAATAGGCTGGCAAGCACGTCGAATTCACCTCGTCGGATTATATAGAAATGTTGCGCTCGCAGCGCTGCTCGCTTTGCAGCTCGTGGCCGCAAAATTAGCCGCAAAACCGTGCAGTGGCGTGCCGGGGCAGTGCGGGGCAGACGCCGCGTGGCATCCAGCCAATCACGGTCGCAGCCTGAATGGATTGCAAATGCCACAGAGGCGTACGCCACCAGCGTCTGTGCGTCAATATGTGCCCGTGTGCCCGTGTGTGTGTGTGTGTGTGTGTGTGTGTGTGTGTGTGTTGACGAATCTCGTTTCACCACGATTGTTACTCGTAATCAGCGATGCCGGTCGTAATTAGTGCGTGATAGCGGAGAGGCAGGTGAACCCAATCGGCGGCGGGGAGGGGGACGCTGCTGTCAGGGACGCGCACGTCGTACGTACTACGTACACACGAGGCACGCACACACCCGAAAAAAATCCACGTTACATTTGTTTCTTCCGTCGAGCGATGAGCGGCAAGTATCTCTATCGCTGGAGTGTTACGTCAGCGTTACGCTAGTTTGTGGAAAAACACCGCGCGCTTGTTTTCTTTCTTTTTTTCGTTTTTGGAAGAGAACGGCGCGCGCGCGGCGCGGCCGCAGACGTGGCGGTAACGGTAAGGACAAAGGATGTGGTGGGGGGAGGGGGGGGGGCGGTATACCGAGGTATATCGAACAGACGAGAGAGAGATGGTTATGAATGATTCACGAGTTGATGTGCTGTAGCTCCACAGTTGGCACCCCTGCACGGCGCGCCACGGCGGGGCCCTCGCCAGGCCACCAGGCCGCCAGGCCAGGCCGCCACGTCGTGCACTTGGCCGTTTTATGGTCGCCGTGGGCCGCACGGTAGCGTACCGTGTTGTTTGGTTGGAGCTTTGGATCGAAACTCTTAAAAATCACGTTCACCTCCGCGCCGGTGTTTCCTTTGAGCAGAGTGGCAACCTGGGCACAAACGGAGTCTCCGCAGCGCGAACAAAGAAGGTAACGTGGGCCACCTGAGGTAGAGCGCGCACTCACGGCGGAAACTCGACTCCCGCTTGGGTTTTGTTTCTTTTTTTTTGGCAGGGTAGCGCATGCAGGTATGGGTACGGGTACCAGCGGGTACCCCGCGATACTCATCCGGTGTCTCCTCGCCTTGGTATTGTTGCCGAGCGCTGCCGAGGCGAGGCGGCGGGACCGGAGGGAAGGGGGAAGGGGGAAGGGGCAGGCAGGTGTGGGCGTCGGGCGGGCGGGAGGCGCGGCGGCGCGGCGAGGACGGCCGGGCAGTCGCGGACGGGCGGACGGCCGGGCGGGCACGAATGGCGACTGTACTGGCTAGGCGCTCGGTGCGGGCCGCGGCCGGTGCCGTGGTGCCGTGGTGCGGGCGGCGCGGCTCCGCCGTGCTCCGCCGTGCTCGGCCGCTGCAGCCTGCGGTCACCGCTCCAAACGCCGCGCCGCCAGCCAGGCCGGCCGCCGCCAGGCCGCCGAGCCGCCAGTTGGTGCCCAGCTCTGGACGACGGCGGAGCGGGCGGCCCGGAACGAGGCGCGGCGCGCTCAGTGAATATTCAGTGAAGTGTGTGTGTGTGTGTGTGTGTGTGTGCGTGTGTGTCTGTGAGTGCCGTTTTCGGGGCGTGCTGGAGACTTCGTAGCACGCCGAACTGTTCTGTTCTCTACCCACCGCCACCGGCGCGCCGCTTGGAAGGCAGCAAGGTAGCGTCCGTGCCTTGGACTTGCGCGCGCAGCATAAGGTGCTGCTGTTTGCTTTCGTTTTGCCATCCCGGTTCCCGGTTTCTGCGAGGCTACACTGTGATGAAACCTCGCGGTGCGTGACTTCTTTTCGGTACGTAAGAGCAAACCCCGCAGAGCAAACCCCGCATCATGCGATGAACCTTAACCGGTTAAGCAGCGCCACGATGAGAAGCTCAGGGCGGCCCTAAGCAAATATCTGGCCGGTACCTCTCCTTTCCACCCACGCCGCCAGCCTTAAGCACCCACGCCCAGCGGACGCTGCGTGCTCCAGGCAGTCCGAGAACGTCTGGCCGCCTGCCTGCCAGTGTGCCTGCCAGCCCGGCTGGCCGCCTGCCTTGCCGGCCAGTTGGGCCCTAGGGG